CTCTCTCTCTCTCTCTCTCTCTCTCTCTCTCTCTCTCTCTCTCTCTCCACTTCGTTTGTGGATATGCATTTCAATTTCGCCTTTATTCCTGTTTGCATTCAATCCGCATCTTTGGAGGAAGAGAAAAAAAAAGGAAAAGTAAGTCGATGCACAAAATGCGAGCATTCAATGTATCTCCCTGTATATGTTTGCGTTGTTGTTTTTTTTCGTTGTTTTCGACACGAACCGCTTTATGGACATTGGCTTACTGTTGTGTGTGCTATTGTGTATTGCATTTCACAGAGTGCTTTACAATAGCCAGAGCATTTGCTTCGGCGTATAATTACGATTTAATTTTTTACAACATGCAATTCATAATCCACGTCTAGTTGATGTGGTTCGCGCGATGCAGTCATCTATATACTTTCAATGTTTATTGGGCAACAGTGCAAAGAAAACGAACAACGAGAAGGAGGACGAGCGAGAGAGAGAGAGAGAAACCAGCACCATCGAGAGCAGCAAATACTTTGGCGAAACAGTACAGATAACACAACAACCGAAAGAAGAAGCAAGCAAAATATGATGTAAAAATAATAATAACGAAGAGAAAACGTTTCGAGTTTTAATTCTTATTATAGGTTTCAGGATAACACACACTCACTCTCTCTCTCTCTCTCTCTCTCTCTCTCTCTCTTTGATAGCACAAAGTGAATGCTGGGCTTTAAATCGAACTGTAAAAGAGATGTGAGAGATGTGTGATGCTTTTTTATATTCGTTGATGTGCATTCGGGATTTTAAGCACTCGTTATGCTGCGTACGTGTGTTTTAAGCAAAAGAATAAACATAACACGAACGAGAAAGAAAAAACATTGTGCACTGCAGCACACAAACAGATTTACCATGTTGGTTATGTGCTTCATTTCTTTGCCGTTGTTTTTTTTTCGCTGTTGAAGTTGTTTCGCTCTGTGTTCGATCGGATTTTTTCCACTCATAGTTACTTGGGGTGAGAGACGACGAACAATTTGCAGCTTTGGTTGTTGGCTGCTTTTTTGCTATCTCTCCGCTCTCTCCCCTTCTCTCTCACACACTGGCTCGCTCCATGTTTATTTCAAGTCGTTACGATACACACACTAAACTTATATATCATAATTTTGAAGATTCTTAATTCCGTATTTCGTATTTTGCGTGCAAAGCGAGCGAGACAGCCGAAGAGAATCAAGCTCAAGAGACCAATCGATAAGATTTTATGATATATTGTTGTCTGTGCGAGTTTCTTGGTTTTCGCTCCGTTTGTTGTTGTTGCTGCTATTGCTGATTTCTTGTTCCTTTGGTAGCCTTTTCTCTCGTTCACTCTTTCGTTTGTATCGCCTGCACAGCATCGCATCGCATTCGTATCCATCTCGCTGTGATGCAAACTTATTCATAAATTATAATTAGCCATTATTTATTTTAGCCATCAATTCAAGACAAGTGCATTGCCTTCATGAAAAACGAGTGCAGTGCTTCGACCGTTCGTTCGTTTGCAATACTCCTTTTGAGCTTTTCGTATTATTTTTATATGGATCGAATACACTGCGTTTAACTGGAAACATTACCAGAACAATAAAATATTCGCATTGCATTTGAGAAGCATAACAAAAGAAATCGAAGCATTAATTTGATTTTTAGTAACCATTAAATGAAATCAAATTCAAATCCAACGAATGGACGGGCAAACACGATGGTGAATAACACTTTTTTTGGTGCTTGAGATCGATGGAAATCGAGTAAATGTAATTGAAAATGTGAACTTTTTTCACAGAGTTCCCAAACAGAAGCGTATGGAAAACAACCATTCAACGCCCACTTCGATAAGAAACAGTTGCGTTTGAGAGTGTTTTTTGTGTTTGGTTTTCAATTGAAATCCGGACCAGCTATAGTTTTGCATTGGCCAAGCGGCTACTGTTTTCATTTCCAAATGCACCCATCAATTGTTTCTTCGAACCGCAAACTGTGTGGTTTCTTTGAAGTTTTATCGATGAAAACGTTTCGTTCAATCAGAAGAACCATTGTTGATCTCTCTTGCGTTGGTAAAAACCGAAAAATGTTGTTTGCATAAAAAGTCGAGCATATATTGCCAGTGTCTTTTTGAGTGAGCTGTAATTGGCGCAATATATGGGCAATTTGCACGTTTCTCGGGTTAAAATTCGATACATTTGGCCAATCGTGAAGATCAAATCATTATGGTTTTAACTGAATTTTTGACAGCTCCATCTGAACTATATTGGAAATTTTCGTCTGCGTTTTTTTTGGTTTTTTGTACTTCAACGAATCTTAAATGTGGGAACAGATAAGCAAAAAAAGCCGCACGAATTTGTTGGCAAGAGCAAGGATGCAAATTTTTATACAAATTTCGTTGACCCCACGCTAACTCACGTAATGAACTAAAAGTTCATGTGAGCTGCCATTTGGCAGCCAGAGAACGAACACTCATAATATACATTTGAAGCGACAAGCGAGAAAAAATCACTTAACTCATTTCGATTGTACCATTCAACACAATGCCGGGCGCACACAATCCTTCGGTATATCACCAGAGAGAGAGAGAGAGAGAGAGAGGGAAAGAGCAGCAGCATAACGAATCATGTTTCTCTCTTGCCGCGTCAAACACACATCGAAATGATCACGAAAGAGAAATGTATCATCAACACGATAGAATAAAATTATGATGAAATTGATACGTAATTCGATCACAATGGATACAATGCACTAGCTTCCTGGTTTTTTCCCCTCTTCTTCTTTCTTTTTCTTCATTTGAGTCAACGTGTTGGATTCTCAGCGTCCAATGCATTGATGATGAAGAGAAGAAAAAAAAAACCAACCCAACCCAACCCGAGCCAATTAAAATGAACATGAATACAAATACACAGATACGAAGACAACACAAACCGAATCGGTAGACACGAGACGACACCGAGGAAAAGCAGAAGAAAAAAACACACGTAAATGATTCGATGCTTCTCAATGTCTTTAATGCTTCATAAATAAAATGAACGCGCCATGGAAAATTCACAGTGTGATAAAAGGAGAAGCGAGATGTGTGTCCGCATCTATTAGTCACATCTCGATCGGTATCAATCGCTTTGTGAGTCCGGTTTCGTACAATACAATACAATACAATAAAAAAAAAAATTTGGATGGCAAAACTGTTTTTTTCCTCTATCTCTCTTCCATTCGGTCTGTTATCCTGCTTCTTTATCTCTATCGAAATTGTGATAACAAGTTTCATAGTTGTGCTAAACAACGCAGATATTGGCCGATAGATATTGATTGGACTCTTTTTTTTTGCACGATTGATTGATGGAATCAAATGTCTTTCAAGCAAAAAAAAAACTGTTTTGTTATCAAGATCGTCTATCGCTTGTCATCATCTGCTTCGTTTTCAACGAAATATTCTCCAATGAACATTAAAATTTCTTGAATTAATTAATTGTATTTTATTTTCATTTCATTCATCGTTTTGATTTTCTTCTTTTTTTCCGTTTATTGAATACCAAACATCTTCGGCAGCTAATTATTTAATTAATAACAATTTCAATTCAATTTCACCGATCATTCCGATTTGGGACGCTGCTATTTAACTTTTAAACATCTTGCAGTCACTGTTCACAGTGTCGATGGCGTTGTCAATGAAAAATTAGAAAGAAAATTGAAATCAAAAGATTTAACAGAAAAATAAATTGAAATTCGATTTCCGATTCGATTCTCATGAACAAAACGATTCAAATGCCGCATGGTATATTAAACAACGCAGTCAATTCGGTCTGTGGCTGATTTGACAAACGAAGCTGTGGAAAAAGTGCCATAGAAATGAAGCGATAAATACTGAATTTACCGTGTAATTTTTGGTTTTTGTTGAAGAATAAACGTCATGAAAATGCGCCGTTTTGCTCTCGCACCATTAAAAAGGGACCGTGTGGCACGGCATGGAAAGGCATTGCTTGGGTCAGACGAACAAGTTACACAGTTCATAAACAATCTCAATATGTCGATAAGTTCAGTTTTTAATTTGCCGGAAAAATATAAAATCGTTTAGTGATCGTTTCAACATTTCAAAACGTATCACACCATTGATATGGTGTGTGTGTGTGTGAAATGATCAGAATTTTTCGATGTGTGTCGTTGTTTCTCACTCTGATTTTCGTTATCCACTCACACTCTCTCTCTCTCTCTCGTCGCGCTCACTTGTTTCGAGATATTTTGTGCACGATTCTCATTCTCAAGTCAATGTTTGCGCCTTTTTATTTCTTCTATTCCACCTATATCCTTCTTCATACAATTTAATTTGTTTCAATTTTGTAATAATTTATTTTCTAATGCTTGTTTTTTTCTCTCTCTTCTTTTCACTTTGTTCAATTTCAGAAATCGTTTACGCTGATACTCCAAGCATTGGATATGTACAACAGCTCTTATCCCGGTAAGTAATCACATTCATGTTACATTATTAACGATGTGTGTTTTTGTGCTTCCTTTTATCGCTGCTTTTTTTCTCTTCCAATCCGTATTGGACTCTTTGTATAACAACAACAACAACAACAACAGCAGCCAACCGCCGATCGATTTCTCGGTGTTCAGTGGAAATGTGAAGTATGCGCGCGACTACTATCACTGAGAGAGTTAAATGGCCGTGTCAATTGTCTAATAGATTCGGTTTGATCCGTTTTATCTGCTTCGATTGACAAGTGAATCGATTTAATCTACTTTTTTTTTCTTCAAATTGATGCATTTTTCTCTGTTGTCAGCGACAGACAAGTGTCTTTCGTTTTGTCTGTGAGATGAATTTCGATTAACAAGATTTTAAATGGTCGATTGATGATGGTCAGTGATGAACTTCAGACCCTAATCTCTCTTCTTCTTTCTTCTTTATTTTGAAATATGCGCAAGTTAAACTAATAATAAATAAAATGTCTGTTAGAAGATTCATCAGAATCACATTTTTCCACTTTAAATTCCATTGAAATTGCCTACAAAATGTCCCGAAGTTTGAATACAGAGAAAAGAAAAGATGGAATCGCTTGAGCCGTGCGTTCCTTCTTTAAAAGTAAAAAAAAGATCCGCATCGGCATTGCAAAATTGAAATAAATACACACACTCAAACAGAATGAATAAATATTTTCTGAATGACTCCCTTCGTGTGCCTTGTTAACAATTTACAACCAGTGATTTCAATTGACATCTTACAATTATTTAAAATAGAAGCGAGAGGCTTGCATCGTTTCGTACATATACGTACCGAGAGTCCAAGACCCATAGGCATTATTTATTGTTTTTGTGTTGTGTATTCTTTATTTTTTTGTTGCTGCTGCAGCTATTGGATTTCTATGGAACCAATTTCTAATAAATTTATTGCCAGCTCACATTGAATGCCTTACGTGTGTTTTGCTTCGCTGAGACCACAAACCATTCAATGGCTTACTGTGTATATAATGCATGTAGCAAGCTTGAGCCATCTCACCAGGCCCTGTGCTGGAGTCGCGCGCTCAAACGAACGATATTCTCATCACCACAGCAGCATAAATGTTGAATCGCACGCGGCAGTCTCATGTTATAAACTGAGGCAGTTTTGCCATTTTCTTTTTATTACTTTTTCGCTGATTTTCATTAATTTTTCTTTAATCTTTCCTTATTGCGTCTCGTCATTCTAGTACAAATCTCTTCCATTTCCCGTTGACTGATTTGTCGGTGCTTATGCTAACCGAATTCATGGCAGCTAAAATTTCGCATCGTGAGAATGTTGACTTAGCATTTTCCGTTAACGAGAAATTTTGCACAATATGTCTGATGATTTGTTTCTCTTTTTTTTTTCGGTCGAGAAGCGCAATCGATATTTTTGATCTATCGATTGATCGATTGCAGCAAATGCAATGGCTGCTGTAATTGGTGGTCGCGATGTCGACATCGTTTGTGAAACGATTTTCGCGAAAATATCATTTTCTAAGCACAAAAGCCACACAATTTCCCAAAAGATTTTCCATACTCCTGCCTATCGCAATAACAACCAAATAAATAAATAATTATCTGTGAATTTTCTTGCAGTATCAGAGCAATTGATTGATGAAGCCTCGTTTTCGGGCGTAATTCTGCCATCGTCCGAATGGAATACATTGAATTACATTGGCAAAAATGCGCGGATAACGTATCGGTAAGTGAAATTCCTCCAAGAGTAACGTGTAAATTAGCGTGATTTTATTTCATTTTCTCTGTATTGTTTCTCTCGATGGCCCCGGTATTGTGTGATCTTGTGACCTTTTTCGATTACATTGCGGACTTTGCATTGAATTGTGTTTCTTCTTGTTTTTTTTTTTTTTTTTTGTTGCTCCTCCTGCATTTTTAGTGTTCGTGTACAATGCTCGGAGAATTATTTTAACACAACGTGTACGACATTTTGTCGACCACGTAACGATCAGTTCGGCCATTTTACCTGCGGCGAACGCGGAAACAAAGTTTGCCTGAGTGGATGGAAAGGCGCTAATTGCGAAGAAGGTTTGTAACGAGTTTAACTCTGAAATCCATTTGTCATTCGACAATTTCAATTTACACACAATGCGTGCTTTGTTTCGCATTTTCTCTCATTTGTAGCGATTTGCAAGCGGGGCTGCCACGAGGTGCATGGATCATGTTCGGCTCCAGGCGAATGCGTGTAAGTTATTTTTCCAAGTCACATTCTAACATTAAAGAAAATCCATGGTTCTAAAATAAAATCATGTCAAGCGTTATTGAAACCGATTCGAACACGAATATTTCGTTCGACAAATGGTATATCGGTTTGTGTTGCCAACTGGAGAGTGCACACAATTTCGCTTTTAATTTTACCAAAAGAAAAATTCAAATCAATATACTGTGAGTGATTTTCATGAAAAACATAAATTTCATGAAATTTACCACAATTGGCGCGATAAGGAACTAGTAATTATGTATGATTGCTGAAAATGCGCGCGAACGCGCTCGCGACGGACCCAAAAGACAAATCAAACGCATGCTCCAACGAAATCCTAGAGTTGCGCGAGATGAAGTGAATAGTGAAACTTTACCAATACAAGAGTCAAATTATAACAAAAGAGTGAGATAGAGAGAGAGAAACTAAATCAGAACGACACACACACACACACACATACAGTCCGTAAAAATCTAACGAAGAAGTGCTCAATTGCAGTAATTTTATAATTAAATAAATCACGAATCAAATTATGTCATGATTTAGTGTGTCTCATTGGCTGTTGTGTACAGCGAGAGAGAGAGAGAGAGCGTGCGCATGGATACAACGTATATTCCTGTGTGAGCTAGCTTGTCTACTTCCATTATGCTCATTGTACTGTATGATAATAGAAAAACGTGAACAATAACTACCATGGAAAAATCAAGCATTTCAACGAATAATGAGCCCGAATGAATACGAAGAACACAAAAAAAAACAACGGCTACAACAACACTGGATCGCAGATACTATTGAAGGAACAAAAATGTGAAAAGACGGAAAGTTGAAGAAAAAAAAAAACGAAAAAAAGGTTTTTTTTTTCTTATACTTTAAAATTAAAACTTTCGATGAGGTTGAACTTTTTTTCTCTCCCAATTGCAGTTGAAATACAGAGGTCGGTAAATAATGAAACGATGAAAAGAAAAATGGCCATATAATTTGTTGGTCGATAATTTAGCTTGCAATTCATTTAATTTTTTTAATCGGTTTTCTTCCCATTCTGTTCTCTTCATTCTATTGAAATGGCTTTTGGAAAAACTAAATCGAACGCGACATTGTATGGTATCGCGCGTTCTATAGACGTTATAAAGTATGGCCTTTGTGGTTCAGTTGAAGCAGTCACACAATTCATGATTTGTTCATTGATCATCCAATTGTGTGTATGAGAGAGAAACCGATCGAAAGTTGCTGGTTGCAAAGACACACGGAGATGCTTTGAAAATGTGATGAAGTGAATTTCCAGAGATTATGTGATATTTTCGATAGTTTCAATATTTCACGAGTCGATTATGGGTCGACAATGTAATTATGTCTTGTTAATCTGTTCGTCTTATGGTCTCTCACATCGTTTTCATTTTTTACATGAAGCAAGAGCTGTGATCGTTAAGACATGCGCGCTTTTCATTGTTAGCATGATTTTTTATGCAGATATCTCATGTTTAACTGGGCTTATGACGGCTAATGTGATTGAAACGTTCAATTTCTGTTGCTTTATTCTATAATTGATTATTACGAAACCGTAGATTTGTATCGCTGGAATGATCACAACATTATGAAACTAACTGATGGCAATCGCGCATTGAAATGTTCTTAGCAAATATCGAATTTTTCTTCTTACTCGTGATGGTTATTATTTGGGCTTGGAACAAGCGGTCATTTCAATTGAACAAGGATTTGTGTAATCAGTTGGTGTGTTTTCTTTTCGGAATCGTGTGCGTGTCGGGCATTATTGATCGGTTGGCCAATACCAGATGTCATCGAACTTGGGTAAAACAAAAGTAAACACGAAACAAACAAATGTTTTACACAAATATATTCAATTGGTCGGAATGCATAAATCATACAAACTATAGAAAACTAATCTCTTTGAACATTATCTCAGAACATTGGTGAGAACACAACCTTCACAGCAAGCTTACTGCATTTGGGACAAGAAATGAGAAAAACGAAGAAAAAAACATGAAACACACACACACACACAGCCTGAGCATCACATAAACAATAAAACATTAAAATGATCCGTATTCCACGGCATTCTTCATCATTTGGGTTCGGCGAAGGAAGAGCCAGAGAGAAATTACGCTTTTGAAAAATCATAGCTCGTCTTATTTCGCATGCGCTTCTCATTTTTCATTTGCCGCGTCAAGGTGGATGTAATATGTAGTGCATGTAGAACAAGGGAATCAAATGAAGACGTTAAAATAATTCTCTCACTATTTCTCTCTCTCTCTCTCTCTCTCTCTCTCTCTCTCTCTCCTACTACATCCAAAGGTGCGTATGTTCTCGCGCGCACTGCCTCACATTCATGTGTCTCTCGCACTGAGCACACAGTACAAACAAACTACACACATCCAACACACACAGCGAGAAAAACAAAAAAACCAAATGATTTGTTTGAACGGGAACGCACAGCGAAAGTCACGAAAAAAATATGAAAATAATATGAATAGTTTTAAGTAGAATAAATGGTTGCTGCCTATTTGCCTAACGAGTTATTTCTTTTCAATTTGTTTTTCTCAATGGGTCTTCAATGCTGTCACTGTGGGTTTCTATTCTCTTTCGCCTCTATCACATTGTTCAGCGCGCTGTTTCTTCAGTGCTGGTGTGTTTTGGCTCATCGTCTTCTTTTTTTTCGCTGTCATTTTTATTCCTAAATACAAATTGATGCTCTTAAAATTGCCAGAACGGCGAACCAATGAGAGAGAGAGAGAGAGAGAGAGAGAGAGAGAGAGAGAGAGAGATAACAGCATTGAATAGACAATGGCATTTTGTATAAAAAGCAAAACAAGTAACCACACGATCCGAAAAACACGATGTTAAGAAATTGAACATAACAGAGAAAAAAAAACAGAAGATTGAAATATCATTTACTGTCAAACGATGCCCACCATGTATCGCGAAGCGCACAAGCCAAACACGCACCAGACAATGAGAAATATCCATCATTTAATTTTGAATAAATCACACGCCAAACACACAAGACCAAAAAAAAAAAAACGTAAAACACAACATAAAAACCGTTAAACAATAATCGTGTTGCTGTTGTCACCTTTTTGTTTAGCTCATTTTCGGCCGCCCAAATATTAAATGACCAATAACCACTAGATTGATTGTCGTTCCTCACCATCGCGCACGCGGCAGGCGTTCGCTTTTTTTTGACGTTCAGCATACTGTGCGTTTTATATAATTTTCAATTTAAAATGTATGAGATTTTCACGCGGACACTTTGTCAACACGCATGGACCGCACATCAAACCAATTCGGAACGCACTTCAAACAGTTCAACGGAAAATGAATCTGTTTCAACACAAACCTAAGCGACTAATGAACAAGTCAACAGAACTAGAGAAAAGCCAGTGACTCGGTAGATGAATAGAATACAAATGAAGACCTAAAACATATCTTTAAAACAAAGACAAACAATTTTTCTTCATTAAACGCACTGTGTATTTCGGAATGAAATCACAGAGGCCTTTTTCTTCTCTTCCACAAATTAATTTGTTAATGAAGAAACAGGAAAAGTGTGATCTAAATACATAACATCTAACAAGTGTTGAACAATAATAATCGTGTTGTTGTTGTCACTTTTTTTTGGTTCGTTCATTTTCGGCCGTCTAAATATCAAATGACCAATAACCACAAGATTGATTGCCATCCACACCATTGAATACAGAGTTTCAGCGTACTTTATTATTTATTGGACACTTTGTCAACACACACACACACACATATATATATATATATATATAGGCCGCACATCAAACCATTTCGGAACGCACTTCAAACAATTCAACGGAAAAATGAAGAAACGCACATTTCATCTCTATTTTGGCAGAACAAATGAAATCCAAATGAGACATCAATGTGTGAAGAAACTCATCTGTTTCAATATTGACGAGCCATTTTCCCCCGCTTTCTTTCATTCTCGCTTCAAAAGACTTTCGGAATAAAGATCTGTTTTTTTTTGTCCATCTTTGTCATTGAACAATAAGTTACAGCGGTTTTGTTTCATTTTCACTTGTATTTATTTACGTGGATCGTTGTTCATTGTTGTGTGAGCCGATATATTTGTCAAATAAAATGTGTGTGTGTGTGAGAGAGAGATTTGGTGGTATCTCATTGCTCGTTTGTCATTTCGAATTAGGATGGAGAAGAAAAGATTTACATGATCATTCGAGTCAACGGTGTGACAATAAGCAGTTCTCTTTTAGAATGTTCGGATCTACTTTTCTTGTGTTTCTTTGGTGATAAATCGATTTTCATCAGGACATTTGGACTTATGAAAGTAATGGCTTGGTATACTTCCGTGTATTGTTTGAATTCCAACTCGCGGGACGAAAGATGGTCACAAAGAAAGCGAAACAAAAGAAAAATAAACCAAAATATAATAATAATCACGAATTAACCGCACCATTTATAAGCCATTAGTAGGAAAAATCACGTAATTAATGGCTATATTAGTGGATTTTTATTAAGTAAACATTTGGATATGTATCTGTTGACCATTCATGTATGATTATACATATTTGGTTGTTGAGCATGCGCAACAAGCGCGAGCCACCGATAATTATCAGTTTTTAAGCTAAACTATAATCTATTAGCAAGTCTCAATGTCAAAATTGTGTAAAACCATTGGAATCGATCCAAGAGAGAGAAAGAGAGAGCGCGAAAAGGAAGGTAAAAAGAGAATCTTGAATAACGATCGCAATCGTATGGGATGCCTCTGGTCATCAGACTAAATGTTTGAGTAGAGAAGGGAAAAAGTAACAAGCAAAAGAAATGGAACTAGCTCGGTGTTGATGATGATGAAGAATGAGAAACAGTTCGGCTAAGTAGACCCGTTTAAATGCCGAAAATGACCGAGTGTGAAATGAACGGCAATTGCATTTATGTTGCGGGACCGAAGTCTCTTCGTACACAATTAATTATCGTGTATGTGAGGCTAA